GAGGCTGTAGCCTATAGCACACCCATTCTGAATCTGCAAAGCTTATGCTGTCAACATGCATCATCAAATGGGCATGGTTCTTATCAATCTTAAACGTAAAACGCTAGTTATGCCACGAAATTCCCATATCATCACATTTTTAGCAAAATGAATAGTTCCACCTGTCACACTGTTAGCTTTGGAAGTAAACCAATTCCCAATACCACCAGTGGCATACATCGTGCCAAGCATTAGTGCCGCATGTGGCACAAGAATGTCCTAACTAGGGAAGCAAACTTAATCGATCGTGTTGATTAAAGCACTTAAGTACGGGAGAAATTATCAATCAGAAGGTCACTCGAAAGGGAAGTTTTTCTCGCTGAACGAATATGACTTTTTATTGGGCTTTCCGCAATGTAAGGCCGAAGACATTCACTCCGTGATCGGTACAGAATCATTTGCTTAGCAGTCGGTCGTGCGAGCAAAAAACAACAAAAACAAAGGAGGATTAGAAACGCGATAGATTCGCCTTTGCACGGAGTACTTACACTCAAAGTCGTGTCAACATAAAGCGACTATGGCCCACTTTGCTAGCAGCAATCTTAAAATTTATCCGTGCTGTCGTCGCACCCGTGCACCAACCGAAAGCGTTGCTGCAAGCCCCTCCGCTGTCAACTTTGAGTCGCTGTTGAGTCTGAAGAACTGCTTTATGAGGTCCATATCCAGCCACTGAGCACATACCCAAGCACAGGAAATAATACTCGGTTCCAAGTACAAGCGAAGAACCCGGGGCGGAAAGCCCTGCCAAACGACCTGCGTCGGGCGACGGTGACTGACTGCGTAGTACACAGGTTGCGCTCCTTCGACGCCTGCATCGCTGCGGCGGGTGGTCGTAGCAGATCGTGTCACCTCTGTTGCTCGTACCGAAACACTAGAGCCGCGTAATATTCTTGTTGCCGAAGTTTATAAGCCTACGTTCGCGGCCAACGCACGTACACAAAGCCAACGCCCAGCGAAACTATCCCCCTCGTTCTCTTTCGGCGACCGGCCGCCAGGGCGGTGACACCGTCGCTGAAACTCCTCAATAGCTCCGACACCGACCCGACCCGACCCTACCCGACCGGCGTTACCGACGCCCCGCTCACCTCTTTACCGCGAGCAAAGTTTTACGCGACGTTTCGACGTATTCACTCATATCTCGTGTGTACGCAAATTTTGCGGCTTTCCGGGTACGAATCGGCTACCGAAACGGCCAGCGGACGAAGACGAACTGAACGCCGGCGCTATGCGCCATTTAAACACGCGGTTACTTTTCTACTAGACTGTAGCTATGTGGTGTGGTTCCTTATACATAAATGGACTACGTACAAACAAAGCTAAAATAAAATTGGGCGGCTGCTTGCGCCACCTAGTGAGTATGCGGAAAACTATAAAAATGAAGGACATTCCGGCATTTGTGGAAGTGACACGCTCGAACACGGACGGCAGCATACCAACACATACATCACAGCACATACCACAAGATCAACATACAAGCATCTACATACACAAACTCAATCTCAATAGAAACCCGCTCGGTATATATAGCAGACTTTTTGTTTCAGACGAAGGTCCGGTGACACCCCCCGTATTTTATATGAACGTAACGATATTACACAATTATTACTTATATAGTACGGCGACATAAATATAATTTGGGAAGGTACACATTTCTCTTAGTCTAGATTATAGCTAAAAGACACCCTATATTTTTAAAAAAATGTTTCGAGCTAGCCAAAATGTAGCAAAATCTGGTTTCGTTTTCGGAAGTTCAAGCGCTGAAGGCTGGAATGCGCTAGCGAAGTGTGGGCTTGCTTCTGTCAAACTATAATCCATTGTATGACGCTCTCAAAGCTGCTGGCTGCAGCCCCCGTCTTGGTCTAGGGTTTGATTTACACGCGCTCCCGTGGAAATGAAATTATGCGCGCTCGAGTCGATATTATTGACAGCGTGAAGTATAAACCGAATGTAAACGATTTTGCGAGCGAGGAGAACAGCGACGGCGACCCGCTTCGCTGACAATCGGTCACTCGCGCGACGACGCAAGCCGCATGAAAGCGGAACGATGTTTTCTAGAAATCCAAAAACCGAGTGACGCGACGAGCGATAGTAAGAAATCTTCGTAATACGTCGCTGACTCGTCGCTGTCGCCGTCGCTCGCTAAATCGCTTTATGCAGTTCAGCCTTTATACTCACGCTAGTGCCGACCTGCATTACCCGCTGAGCCCAAGCAAGCGATAAGGATATTCAAATATGTCACAACAGTGGCGTGCATTCGCTAAGAAAACATATATCTCAAATTCCTGCAGTTTGACGTCGGGATCCGTTACTTGTTCTGCTGTCACCTTGACGAAACGGTCACCAAAAAGAAACTAGTCAGTTTGTTTTATCAGAAATTATAAAAACCTTATCTAGCCACTGTTATGCACAAAAGCACTCTGGAATTTCATATAAATAGTTTAGAATAAACTGAACACAATCGGTAACTTAATTTTCCAAGCATAATAATAAAAAAAAATCTTAGAAAACAATGTATTTTTAAGGTAATTCAAATTAAAAAAAACTGAAAAAGGAGCCTTATTTCAGCTGCACTATCACGTAAATACTTTGGGAAAAAAATATCTATTGAGAAGTAGGTTTTGCAATCTCTAATTTGCTTCTTTCAACTTTCCAGTTACTTTATGCGTACTTGCAGATTGTATCCTGACAAATCTAGACAAAATTGAATAAAAAGTAACAGTCTATATAAAATTTATAGCTTAATTAAATTCACATTTGTTTGATAATGTTCAATCTTAAATATGAGTTTTAAATTTCACATCTATTATTACAAATGATTGAATTACATGCTGCTTGATGCATGCTGTGCCGCCGCCCCCCCCCCTCCCCCCCCCCCCCTTTTAAATATATATATCCTGTATATTTGCTGGTTAGTTGTTGTAAACCTCTTAATGTCGTGTTATTTGTTTGTTGTTGTAGGTGTGTGAATGCATATGTTGTACCCCACTCCTACTTGGGCCTTCAATGGCCAGTAGTATCCTCTAAATAAAATTAAAAAAACAAGTGAGCAGTAAAAATCTGGAAGACAAAAGTAAACACAGAGCCGTGCAAAAAGGCATTCACTATATGAAACAGATACAGATATGGGCCTCTGGCGGTCCATCGGTTCAGCCTCCACACCGCCTAAAGACGGCAGTGTTGCAATATTACGAACCAGCGCACAGGTAGACAGTTACCAAAAATCCAAACACAAAAAACTCACATCAGCGCTGTGCGAGTGTATATTTTTGTGTATTTGGATTTTGAGTAACTGGTCTACCTGTGCGCTGGTTCGTAATTATGCCGTACCAACTCGCCCAATCTGCCGTATTAATAGTGTTGCAAAATACTTAGATCAACTATAATGCTAATGACTGCAGTGTATAAAAGCAAGCTACTCGTCGGAACGAGCTTGACGGTACGAGAATAAAGAGAATGTTTTCACAGTTAAACTCAGAGTCTGCTGCACCGTCTCTTCCATCCTCAAGATCGAAAGTGCTACAGATTGGTGACCTGGACATGATGATTGACTCCGAGCACCTGCTATCCAGGGGAATGTTCTTCGTGGCCAAGGGCACGGCAATGGCTCTGCCTTTTCGGACGAAAATGCAGTAGGCACATATTCAACTTTCTCAGCCTCCACATCTGCAGCGCCTCCGCAACCACCTCTGCTCTGTCGCATCTAGCACCGGCATCTCCCAGCAATGGGCTGCGACCACCTTGCTTGCCCCACCGGCTTGGCAAGTGAATATTCATCGACATCTTCACACTGTTCACAAGGCATGTTGCTAGCCGACCAGGGTCTCCTCATCGTTGCCATGTCAGGCATTCGCTCTCAGTTCGGTTCCTCATCTTAGGGGATGTTGCATCGGCCCCGCAGTCGGCCGGCATCCCCCTTTCAGTCCGAGGCTGTACACGCCAAACTGATCGAGCCGGACTGAAAGCACGACAGGGTCGATTTCCCCCGTCTGCTGCCTCATTTCCTGACCTCGGCGTCAACTACCATGCACAGCTTCCAAACGCTCTCTTTCCTGCTCTCTAGTATGTCATCCTGCTTGCGGTACATGTCAACAGCAACGACACCTCTCTGGAGCCGCAATCACTTCAACAAAATCGTGCCATTCCTCACAGTGCAGAGCTGAGGGCGATAGCTCTGCGGCAGTCTATCGGTTCAGCCTTGGCATCGCCAAAGATGACAGTGCTACTCATACTCGTCACCACGAGCTCAACGACATGAGAATAAACAGAATGTTTTTATTGCTCGGAGTCGGTCACAGCATCTTTTCCGTCCACAACATCATATACTCTATAGGTAGTAAGCAAGAGACACGCACTTCAGATGAAAAGAACAAATGCTCAGATCACACATGCCGCGGGTGTCCAAAATTATCCATCATGTTGAATATTGTTTTGGTTTTTTTAATTCTAACAGAAGACAAACATCATTATCGCGCAATCAAAATGAATACTTACGAAACACCTAAGTCGCAGTGTAAGTGCTCATCGCTGAGCTGCGGCTGTGGCATATATGTATTTATTTAAAAGTGCACCGATGATAAAACCTTCAGGTTTGGCAACAATACTGAGATTACAACGGTTGTTGTCCATTATAAAATACAAAAGAAATAAAAAATACCGGAAACAATGCAAGGTACAAATCTGCACAACAGGCTTCCGAATTCAACTACTTCGTCGTACTGGAGTTTGTTACAGTAATAACAGCTTTGGATGGGCTGTGAGGACAGCATTCACACTGAACTGGGTGCCTTGGTGACTATCACCAGTGTTGAGGAGTTGCCACTCCAGAGTTGGAACGATTCCGCACTTCCACAACCCTGGAATCGAATGTAAATAAAATGGTGGCAGCACTGGAATGGAATGGGAATGAAATTAGTGTGGTGTTGGAGTATGTAGGGATTGCTTGGATTGAGGACTGCAGCGTGGTAATTTACGTTCGTTTAATCCGCCATTTCTGATACACCAATGTTGCCAACCCATATAGTCGATTTCGCTAAATCAAGGACACTACAGCTACCCTCCTTGTGAGAAGATGAAATTGAGAATCTAATACATCAAATAAAATGTTGCAAAGTAACAAAACAAAATTAACTAAATGATGTGCTGTCGATGTTCAGCTGAACACTTGCTGAGATGAGTTCTTTCATTTTGTAATAGTTCACTCTTCTTCACAAAGAATTTAAAAGGGATTATGTTGCAAAGTCAGCAAGATGCCGTGGTGGCTTGCGGTTTCTGACGGGGTAGCGTCGATGAAGGGGGCTCTGTCGTCTTGCAGGCACTGATGGCCCTGGTGCTGAAATGCAACTGTCCGTGCTGGACGGTGGCATAGTGTCATCTAGGTCGGTCTCTGCTCTGCGTGGCACTCGGTTGATCCTGGAGGCATCCTTGAAAAAACTAGCATTCCGTGTGATCATTCGGTTGCCTTGGGATGCTTTGATCTGAGATCCATGAATGCTGGTAATGGTATAAGGGGTTGGATCGTAATACGACGTAAATTTGTTGTGTTGGGCTTGTTTACACAGGACTCGCTGACCCACCCAGAAGCGATGTCGACGAGCGCCTCTCCGTGTGTCAGCTCGATGCTTGTTGTAAGCCTTTCTTGCAAGCTCTCTTGACCTCAGTCCTTCTGAGTCCACTGTTCTTGGGGTTGGGGCTGCATAGAGGGGAAGGAGATTCCTCATTGGTCTTCCAAACAGCAATTCGTAAGGCGTTTTTGTTGTTGTGCCTTGTTTCGTAGATCTGTAAGACATCAAGAAGGTATCTAGCTCAGCCTTCCAGTCCTTGTTTTCGAGTTCACTGGTGTGCACCTGCTTCTTTAATGTCCTCATGAATCGTTCCACTTCACCGTTGGCCTGAGGCCATAGCGGTGTGACTCTGTGGTGTCGAAATCCCAGCTCTTGGGCAAACTCAGCAAACTCTGTGCCATGGAACGGTGGCCCGTTGTCCGTTTTCACTTGTTCTGGGATGCCAAACTGGCCAAACACTGTTCGGAGGTTGCTCAGTACATTGCGTGCGCTTGTCGAATTGAGGACCTGTACCACAGGGTATCGCGAAAAGTCATCTATCACCACCATTGCATATTTCCCATCGGGAAATGGACCACAGAAGTCGAGGGATACTTTTTCCCAGGGACTGCAGGGAGGTTCAGTGATCGCAAGTGGCTCTTGAGTTGTTTGGGGTACTGCAGCTTGGCATGGAAGGCAACTCTTCACCAGCATGTGCACAAGGTTGTCCATGCCTGGAAACCATACCTTCTCTCGTAGTAATTGTTTCGTCTTTACGATTCCCTGGTGACCTCGGTGTGCAAGTTGCACTGCACGTTTCTGGAGACCAGTTGGAAGGACAAGGCGTGTCCCTCTAAGGATGAGACCTTCTGGTGTTAAAGTGAGTTCTGCCTTCATAGCTGCAAATGGCTTTAGTTCTGGTAGCAGCCAGTCGTTACGTAGAGGATGCTGAATGGCTCTCACCAGTAGCTGCAGCTGTTGGTCTGCCTTAGTCTGTTCCACAACTTCCTCGATCGAGAAGGCTTTTGGGATGCACTGGCGTTGGATGAAGTTGACATACTCATCAGGAACTTTGGCGATGCGAGTGCCTGTCTCCTTTTGTGGCACTGGGTGTCTTGAAAGGTAGTCCGAGGGGTTGCTGCTTCCAGCAGTGTGTCGTACGTCAAATGCATACTGTTGGATGCGGAGAGCAAGGCGCTCTATGCGGGCAGATGGTGACGACCTTGGGTTTCCCAGGATGCTCACCAGGGGCTTGTGGTCTGTCAATAAAAGAAAGTTTGCACCACACAAGTAGAGCCGAAAGTGTTCCATGCCCCATACTGCTGCCAACATTTCTCGCTTGATTTGGGAGTAGCGGCTTTCCACTGGTGTTAATGCTCTGCTTGCATAAGCTATCACTGCAACCTGTGCACCATCTCGTTGTGTTAAAATGGCACCAAGTCCGTGTGGGCTTGCATCTACAACCAGCTCTGTCGGCTTGGCTTGATCGAAGTGGGACAGGGTAGATGCGTCTGACATGACGCGCCGCAGTTCGTCGAAGGCTTTCTGGTGTCGTTCAGTCCACTCCCAGGTTGCATTCTTTAGCGTAAGTTCACGCAGTGGCTGAGTAAGGTCAGCAAGGTTTCGTAAAAACCGACCTGAGTAGTTGACCATTCCCAAAAGACTCTTCACCTCTTGAGGAGACTCTGGTACTCTTACTTGTAGGAAAGCCTCGATTTTCTTAGGGTCTGGACTAACACCCTTTGATGAAAAAATGAGCCCGAAGAAGGTCAGCTCTCGCTGGTGGAAGTGACACTTCTTTTCATTGAGCGTTAGTCCTGATTCCTGAAGTCGATGTAGGACTGCATCTAGAGCGGCGTCATGCTCTTCTTTAGTCTTTCCAAAGACCAGAATATCATCACTGACATTTAGGACGTTTGGGATGCCGTTTAGCACTTGGCGAATTGTGTTCTGGAAGATTTCTGCTGCACTGCTGATGCCGAAGTTGAGACGTTTGTAGCGGAACAAACCAGTGTGCGTTGAAAATGTTGTTAGTCGTCTCGAAGACACGTCCAGTTCCAGCTGATGATAGCCGTTTTTCAGGTCAAGGTTTGAGAAAATGGTTGCTCCGTTGAGAGCTACGATGATGTCATCAACTGTTGGACACAGATGTCGCTCTCGTTGAATGGCAGTGTTCACAAGGCGCATGTCGATGCACATGCGGATCTCATCAGGGTGGTGTGGTTTCGGTACAATAACCACTGGAGACACCCATGGTGTGGGTCCAACTGCTGGCTCGATTATGTCCTCTGACAGGAGACGGTCGAGTTCTGTCTCCACAAGTGCTCGCACTGCAAATGGAATGCGTCGGTGCGGTTGAGCGATGGGAGGAACAGTTTCATCCGCGAAGAGGTGGATTTGCTGCTCTCTGAGTTTGCCAACTCCTTTGAACAAGTTAGGGAATGATTCCACGATCGACTTTCCTGTTGGGGAGTCTTCGACTTGGTATGTGATTCGAATAAGACCAAGATTTGATGCTGCTGCAAAGCTTAGAAGTGGTGCGCAGCTTCCTGGGGTGACGAAGATGTCCTCTTGACTGCACCTTTCCTTGTACATCATGCTGACTGAGACTTTTCCCAGAAGTTGCAGAGGAGACGTTGCTTTGTATGGAAAAACCTTTACGGATGTTTTCTCCAGTTTCTCATCTAGGTGACAGTTCCGGAGCTCATCTTCACCAACAACCGACACGGTTGCACCCGTGTCAATCACGAAGGTGATTGGAACGTTGTCGACTCTGATGACAGCTTTGGGAGACGTGCTTGCTGGAGGCAATGTTTTTGCTACAAAAACGTGTTCTTCACCGCTTGAACTGCTGTCTTGGCGGGTTTGGCTGATAGTTTGTACTGTCTTGTTTGATGAACGGCACACCTTGGCAAAGTGTCCGATCTTGTTGCAGGCTTTGCATGTTTTTCCCCATGCAGGACAGTTTGATCGTCCGCCGCCATGTGGCCATTTGCCACCGCAGTTGTGACAATCTGTCGACAGGCTGTGATGTTGTTGTGTCTGGTAGTTTGGTCGCTGAGGCGGTTTCAAACTTCTTTTTGGCTTGCTGCCGCGATGCTGCTCATCCTTTCGTACTGCGAGGACTGGCTTGTCGGCGCTCCGCTCGATTTCAGACACATCGTGCTCCACGTCCTCGAACATGCGTCCTTGCTTGAGGATATCTGGCAAGTCCAGCGAATGCAGTATGGCATACTTCCGCAGGCGCGTGGATGTGGTCGCGATGATGATCTGATTCTTTATCTCAAGATCAACGTCTGGGAAGTTGCAATGACGAGACAGCTGCCGGAGCCGCGCATAGAAAGCATCGAGTGACTCACCGACGTTCTGTTGTGCTTGTCGGAAACGATAAATGGCGAATGTTGGGTTGATTCTTGGTGCGAAGTGAGCGTCGAGCTTTGCTCTCGCGGCGTCGTACTCAGATGTTGACGTTCTCGCTGCGCCTTGCGCGGTGCTGCTGACAGTTGCCGATGACGAGTCGTCCGGGAGAGACCGGTAGAGATCATGCACTTCCTCACCGGCGTAATGAAGGAGGAGCGCTTTCTTGCGTACGTCTGACGTGATGTTATACGCAACGAGAAAGTTCTCGAACCTGTCCACCCACTTGGCCCACTCGAGGCCGATGTTGTTGGCATCCGTCGCTTGGACGTTGAAGCTCGGAAACGGGGGCAGCGTGTGTGCCATGTTGACCCGTTCCGTTGATTGCTGTGGCGGTGCTCGCCGATGATTTCGTGGTGCACGGGTTCTAGGAGTCTTCCGCTACCACGGACGGCACTTCTGACACCATTGTGGTGTTGGAGTATGTAGGGATTGCTTGGATTGAGGACTGCAGCGTGGTAATTTACGTTCGTTTAATCCGCCATTTCTGATACACCAATGTTGCCAACCCATATAGTCGATTTCGCTAAATCAAGGACACTACAATTAGTAGTTACATTTTGCCCAGAATAGAGTAGGAATGGAATAGGCTTTGTTCTAATGCGAGCTGCTTTGATGCCGTCAAAGGGGCTTTCGAAACGGCATTATTGCACTTAGGTAACTGACGGTTTGGTTATCTGACTTATGTTCCTTCGAGGATGAAAGTGGCAACCCCAGTGAAGCAACCCAAACTGTAGAGTTGTAGGCTGACAAGGGCAATTTACTCTATCTTAATCCAGGGTAAGGGTTTTGTACCTCAGCGTTCCAAAAACTACCCGTGCCCAGCACTTTTCAATCTGTGTTGTCACGTGACACGACCCACCGGAGTAACTCGGATCTATTTGGGTAAGATTTGGAACACAGCCAAAGTGTCGTTCCTGGTGCTGCGAGATGCAACCATAAGGCTGTTGGGACCATGTGTGATTACAGCACCAGTTGCAGGCCACCAGGCGGGGACAATGTCACACCGCCCGCACTTCGTTAATACACGTGACTCCTCACTTATTATGTATCTCGTAAAAGTGGAGGACATATACGGTTCTTTTGTGGAAAAGATGGGCGACTTAGTTTTCCTCTTTGTTACGAGGCTTTTACACCTGGTGGTGCGATCAATATCTGCAGTGCCCCCATACCAATTGCCACTAGTGCTATGTGCGACCAAAGCTCAACTTAGTAAAATCAATGATTGCAGGTAGGGTTTTGAATTTTGCAGTTGTCTACGCATTTCACAACGCCAGCTTTACGCCGACGTTATTTTCCGGTAACTTAGTACTAGCTGTCAAGTGCCATTTTCACAATTGGGAGGGATTGAGAGGAATGGATTGCAGCAGTTCAGCCATTCCAGGTGTGGGGATGGGCCCAGTTTTTCCTTTCCAGGAGTTCAAAGGAATGGAATTAGTATTAGAAAATTCCAATTCTCTGCAATGGAGTTGGGTGGAATGGGGAATCTTTTGTTTGTTTGCACGCCTAGAATGTTTGAGATGACTCGAGAATCTTGTTTGTTCGAGCTCGGAACCTTCTAGATACCTACGGGCTTACAAAAAGAGCTTCGCATGGCTGCTCGAGTCAGTCGTCCTTTTGTCGCTGTCAAAGTATGTGCGGTCTTTGTTACTTTATGTTTCTCGGCACAAGTTCGCTGCATTTAACATTGATCTGAAGTTTTATTAATCAAGTTTGTTTTTGTTCATGACATATTGGTGGATGTGCAGGGTAACGCAGTCTATGCCCATAAAGCGTACCATCTGTGAACACGATAACTCTGAAGACGACGATCGTGAAGGCGACTTCCTTGAAATCATCCGAGGACGACTCCAACTGTGACATCAACGACGACCTCAACTATGGCCTCGGAAGCGACCCAAACAATGAACTTGACAAAGCCCCTGGCTACCACACTTAGACGAAAACATCACGACGACTTCTACGCTGATGATGAAACGGACGACAACTCCAAAGACCGAACCCAGCTACAATGTCAACAACCAACCTGACAACGGCCTCGATGACAAACAGTCTTCAACCGTGGTGGTGAGAATGATGACGACACTGATGATGACCCAGGCGAAGACTCAAACAATTTCATGAAAGACGATCCCGACTACGGCTTTGACAGTTATCCAAGGACAATCTGGACGATGACTTTAAAGGGCAACTCCGGCCAAAACTCGAAATTAAAGAAATTACTGGTATCGCTGTAGTGACACAAAATACGACCCCAGCCAAAATATTACGTCCGTAGGATGCCGCATTCTCAACTAATGCCGATAATAAAAATGTGACCCGCCGCGAGCCGCTGCACCTTAGCGGTCGGCTAGCGGGTTGCCGATCACTAAAGCAACATTGGGCCGTGACGTCAGTATCGTTCTTTTTTTCCTCCAAGCGTTACGCGGACTGCGCTTCTTTGAGCCGCTACCACCGCTTCTTGGACTTGTGATTGTCATGTTTAGCCATTGCTTTTATCTGTAGCCCGTGTAGCTTCGGTATAGCCTTTTGTTTATTTGCTTGTGAGGACTCAAAGACTGGTTTTAGCGAGCAACTCGTAGCGCCCAAGACTGCCCAGCTGTTCCTCGAAGGATGCCGAGTAGAACTTGTAGTGCTGTGGGCTGCTCAATCAACGCGCTGCACAACCCGGAGGTGCTTTTTCACAAGTTTCCAACGTACCAGAAATTGAAGAAGGTGTGGGTAAACGCTGTTCGACGAGTGGACTTTGGCTTTTACGCGCCCAAGGAAAAAAGAATGCAAAAACAGACATGTACAGCCCTAACGCAGCAGCTCGTGCCGGAAAGCCTCAAAGCTTCGTGTCTGTTACTGACCCGCAGCGCAAAAGCGAGAGGGCCCCCAGTACTGTACTTCACTGGCAGCGCGTCGTAGAGCAACGCCGCTCCATCCACGGAGCCCCGATGTCAATTTAGGCCTAGCGACAGAGTACGGATGACTGCACACACGGCGACAGCCGCTGAGTACGGTACTGAACGAGTTCACTCGTTTTCCAGTCGCTACCTTTTGGGTATACTAGCGACAAGTACGGCATGGCACACGCACGGCGGCAGCGGCCGCCGAGTACGGCACTGTACGAGTTTACGGGTTTTCCAGTCACTAGCTTTTGGGTATACGCACTAACTCTTCCTACATGTGCTGGATAACTACCACATATACAGAATTAAAATAAAATCAGCTTACCTCCTACCTTTAGACGGCTAGCGCAACACAAGTTGTTGCTGATCAACCTGCGTACTCGTTGAACGAGAACGATCCTGACGTCACGTTCACATAGCGGCCGATTTCTAGTGCTGCCAGGGTCTCGAGCGGCTAGTTTCGGTTTTGTTGGCCGTGCCCCAAACAAAACTTTGAGGCGTCCATATCTTTAAAACTACGCACAATAACGAGGAAAAAATTACACCTTGCAATTCAGGGACGCTGACTGCACTAAAAACAGTCATAATCCCAAAATTGAAAGTATGGTCCGGAGTTGCCCTTTAACGACAACCACGACTACAAACTTGACGGCGACCTTGATGATGAACCCGATGACAATACCTACGGCAAGTGTGGTATCTGTCACGAAGACAAACAGGACGACGACGCCTGGTATGTCACTCAACGAACGGAGGAAGTTTGCCAGCTTGGTCGCATTTTGATGCAAGCCACAACTTCCTGACAATGACTGCTACAATCTTTGTCACCACGACGCCCAGTTTCAGCCTGGCTACCCACTGTGAATCTAAACACCAATTCATCGTCGCAGCAAGGAACTGTTAAAGTGGTGCTTCGACCTTAAGGTTATTCGCTACATGAGACCTAAGTTGTAAGTCGTTGGCCAATGGCACATCAACATTGTCACGCTGCCCTCTGCGACCCGTAGGCGATTCACGTCTTCCGACTCAACTGAACTAGGTATGCTCGGTAGGACTGTGAAAATCTGCTATTTACGAGACTCTGTATTTTGACCTAGTCTTGTTTAAGCTGTTAATTTAATTTTGTGTTGCATAAAGACGATGAGTCTTTCACAAGAGGGGAGTAATGCCACGTGCAAATAGCCGAGTCAGCAGCGTGATCGACTCACATGCCGCTGACCCCGCCAGCGCATGTCCTTCTTTCTTTTGTTTGCGTGACTGGAATGATGAGACGACTCTAAATTTTTTTTGTTCGAGCTCAGAAACTTCTAGATACCCACGCGCTTACAAAAGTACCTTCGCTTGGCTGCTTGAGGCAGTTGTCCTTTCGACACCATCAAAAGTCTTTGTTAATTTATGTTTCTCAGCACAAGTTCGGCGCATTACACACCGATTTTAAGTTTAATAAAGAAGTATGTTTTTATTCGTGACAATATTTAGATGAATTTTGATAATTCAATCTTCTGATATTTCAAACTAAAGTGTGTGGCTTCCAGGGCCCGTTTGCTCAAGCGCTAACCGCGGCTAAAGTTAACCGCAGTACCTAGGAGAGGGATTTTGAAATCACGTGACTGGCTCGGCAGGAATGCAGGGAAACATGGCGGTGCCCCGGTGAGTGAGCGCCGCTCGCTTTGAAACTAATATGTCGTTGTAGCTGCAATATTGGGCGCGTTAGTCAGCAATGAATGGTGCCAGAGGCTTTCGCTTTGCCTTACCTCATTTAAATCGCAAAGCATGAGCATATGACCTCGCCACATTTTTTAGATAGTCTTTCGATTCTGGCCATTCCTAAGCCTAAATGAATGCGATAAATGTTAGCATGGCAATGTCTTTGGAAAGTGAATTGCCTTGACTCAATCGGCCGGGTATTAATAGCACACAAAAGCAGACAGCGTCCCAATAGACCATATTAGACCCTTCTCTAAATTTCCCAAGCACCGAGGTGCATGCTACAAGTGTAGTTACACGCGTTGCACGTGCTGGCGTCTGAAGTAGCAACTGTTCTAAAGCAAAAAGTCTAAAACAAATTTTGTCTTGCACGTGCGTTGGTCAAATATTTATTATGATTATTTACTTCGAATCTTTTATAAGAGGAAGGCCAGTGCGCGCGGACCGCATAATTATACTTTCAGCGTTCTTCTCGATGCTTGGGTAATTTAGAAAAAGGTCTATAGGGATGCTGTTTGCTTTTGTGTGCAATCAATACCCGACCGATAGAGACAAGACAATCCGCTTTCCAAAGATGTTGCTAAGCCGACAATTACCACATTCATTTAGGCTTAGGAATGGCCAGAGTCGAAAGACTATCTAAAAAATGCGGCAAGAGCCTTGCTCATGCTTTGTGATGAATTGAGGTAAGGCAAAGCGAAAGCCTCCTGCACCATTCGTTGCTGACTAACGCGCCCGGTATTGCAGCTACAACGACATATTAGTTCCAAAGCGTGCGGCGCTCACTCACCGGGGCACCGCCACGCTTCCCCGCATCCCTACCGAGCCAGTCACGTGATTTGAAAATCCCTCTCCTAGGTACTGCGGCTAACTTCAGCCGCGGTTAGCGCTTCGAGCAAACGGGCCCTGGAGTTTGAAATAATGAGAGTCGACTGTAA